GTTGTTACGTCACTTCTTTCCTCAATTTTCTCTTGTCTTTAGGGTACACATATTATTACATTTTACTAATTTTACTGGCGGTAAACAATGGTTCGCGATGGCGTTAAAAAACACCAATACACATAAACTAGCGTTATTAATAAAGGAAGAATAAAAACAGAATGGCACGGCATGTGGCAATTACATTTACCCAAACAAATGGCGGTGTTACGAATACTCAACTTAACACGTCGGAGGCAAGGTTGGCAGGAGGTTGGGCCGCTGGCGGAATCGGGAACATCACAGGGGGGCCAAACATCACAGGGGCCGGCCAAAACATCGCAGGGGCCAAACAATCTACAGGGGCCAAACATCACAGAGCCAACACATCCGCAGGGCCCAAACATACAGGCCAAGACATCGCAGGGGCCAAACATCACAGGTGTGCCAAACATCAGCCAGGGGGCCAACGTACATCGCATGTGTCTTCAGTCATCGGGCCAAACACTCACAGGGGGCCAAATCACAGGGGCCTAACATCGCAGGCCAAACATCACGGGCCAACAATCGCAGGGCCAAACATCCACAGGGCCACACATCGCAGGGCCAAACATCACAGGCCACAACATTTATGTTCTCTTAACATCCACAGGGCCAAAGCATCGCAGGCCAAACTAGGGGCGCAACATCGCAGGGGCCCAACACATCAACCGGGCCCAAAATCGGCAGGGGGCAAACTTATTATCAGGGCCAAACATCGCGGGCTTTTTTTTATTTTTTACATTTTTTTTCTTTTATTTCATTTGGCGCAGGGGGCCAGATGACAGTCTACCGGGTGGTGCCAGTACGTAGTGACAGGGGGGCGGAAGACGTGGCGCGTGGGGCCGAGGAACTATCGGCAGGGTGCGCGGAGGTTCAGCGGGGGTGCCGAAATGCTTCGTCTATTTTTTGGGCGGAGCGTCATGCAGGGCGCTAGAAGGCATCGGCAGGGGGGCGCGAGGAGTCCGACGCGGGGGCCAAGAGGCGAGTGAGCGGGCGAGAGAGGGGGCGTGATCGGGGCGAGGAGACAGTGGCGCAGGGGCCAACGGATACACAGGGGCCAGAACATTGCCAGGGGCCAACATCACCGGGGCCAAAACATCACAGGCCAAACATCGCAGGCCAAACATCGCAGGGCCTAACATCCACAGGCCAAACTCGGCAGGGCGCCCAACATCACAGGGCCAAAATCGCAGGGGCAAACTTCACCGGGCCAAACATCGCAGGGCAACACATCACAGGGGCCAAACTCCAGGGCTGCCAACATCACAGGGGCCCAAACAATCGCAGGGGCCAAACATCACGGGGCCAAAACATCGCAGGGGCCAAACATCACCGGGGCCAAACATTCGCAGGGGCCAAACATCAGGGGGCCAACATCAACAGGGGCCAAACATCCAGGGCCAACATCACAGGGGCCAGGGCCAAACACTCACAGGGGCCAGAAACATCGCAGGGGCCAAACATCATCACAGGGGCAGGGGCCAAACATCGCAGGGGCCAACAGTCACAGGGGCCAAACATCGCAGGGGCCAAACATCCACAGGGCCAAAACATCGCAGGGGCCAAACATCGCAGGGCCAACATCACGGGGCCAAACATCGCAGGGGCCAAAACAGCACAGGGGCCAACATCACACAGGGGCCAAACATGCAGGGGCCCACATCACAGGCCAAACATCGCAGGGCCAAACAATCACAGGGGCCAAACCAACACAGGGGCCAAACATCGCAGGCCAAACATCGCAGGGCCAAACATCACAGGGGCCAAACATCGCAGGGGCCAAACATCACAGGGGCCAAACATCGCAGGGGCCAAACATCACCGGGGCCAAACATCGCAGGGGCCAAACATCACAGGGGCCAAACATCGCAGGGGGGCCAACATCGCATGGGCCAAACATCACAGGGGCCAAACATCACAGGGGCCAAACATCACAGCCAACATCGCAGGGGCCACAAACATCGCAGGGGGGCCAAACATCATCGCAGGGGCCAAACATCACAGGGCCAAACATCGCAAGGGCCAAACATCGCAGGGCCAAACATCACCGGGCGAAACATCGCAGGGGCCAAAACATCACCAGGGCCAAACATCGCAGGGGCCAAACATCACAGGGGCCAAACATCACAGGGGCCAAACATCACAGGGGCCAAACATCGCAGGGGCCAAACATCACAGGGGCCAAACATCGCAAGGGCCAAACATCGCAGGGGCCAACAACATCCCTAGGGGCCCAAACATCACCGGGGCCAAACATTCACAGGGGCCACAAATCACAGGGCCAAAACATCACAGGGGCCCACACGCAACATTCACAGGGCCAAACATCACAGACAGGGGCCAAACATCACAGGGGCCAAACATTCACAGGGCCAAACATTCACAGGGACCAAACTCACATCAAAAATCACAGGGCCAACATCACAGGGCACAAAACATCACAGGGGCCAAACTTCACAGGGGCCAAACATCACAGTAG